ATATGATTCTGCTGAAAGACAAAGACGTGCCCAGAAATTCGTGGCCCATGGGATGCATAGTTTGTACCTTGCCCAGCACGGATGAACTAGTACACAAGATTGAAGTCCTTGTCGTTAGATATGACAGCCCAAAGACTTTCACCAAACTGATCACCGACATGGTACTGCTTGTACCAAAGAATGAACTCAAAGGCTGAAGATCAAGTTTTGCATGCCTTAATCCCTGCCTAGATCTTTAGTTAACAGTGTAGCATGGCATATATGCATAGTTATTGTCTGTCTGTCTGTCTAGTACTGCTCATACAGCTATCACCTCAAGTAGAAACTGGGACTAATTTTTTAAAAGACCTTACTCAGTATTAATTCGCTTATATTTAATTATTGCACCTATGAATTTTGCCACTGAGAGGGTGACATGATCATTTGTATTCAACAGTAGCCATGACACCTGGGCTCACACGGTTCCATATCTTTAAATAAAGGGGTGACTAAATTAGCCCTCAACTCTTTGAATATAGGGCACTCCATAATCATATGTTCGATTATTTCAGTTGTATCATATGAGCATCTGCATGTTCTGTTAGCATATGATACTCTATTATATCTGCCCTCCAAAACTGCCAAGGGAAGAATGTTCATTCTTGCCAAAGTAAAAGCTCTTCTTAGTTTTGGGACTGTCAATTGATAAAAATATTTCGGCAGTTGCATCGGGAGGGCAATTCCCAAATGGAATGTTGAACATATCCTGTGTGCCCTAATAGATGTATTTGTAACATCCAACTTCCTTACACATTTTTTAATTTGTCTTATAATGTCTTTAGTTTCTGTATCCTGTAATCATATCATTATAGTCATAGTACTCCACTAGCAAAGCATGTTGATGGTGGAATCCATAGAATTCCAAACTGCAGCTACCAGTTTGTATTTAGAGCAAAATAGTCCTTTTACCTTTAAGGGAATGCATGATGGGAAATGTAGTCCATTAACCCCATAGGTCATATGTTTTGAGATAACCTTCCTCATTGGTTATGGGCTTCCTTTCCAGTAGCTAACACCCCGCCAAAGTTTTTATTAGTCTATATCCATGCTTTGTTAGAAATCTACTAGCGGTTAGGGAGACGTACAGAATTGTCTCTTTTCACAACTATGTCATATTGTGGAGAAACACACCCCCCCCCCCCCCGAGTTTTTAAAGTGTTACTGGGTTTTTTCTCTTCTCTCTGGAAGGGCAGGAAGCTAGGTCAGTTACCAGTCATGGTTATGCAAATAACTCAGCTTGCAAGGTTACTGAGGTATTTGGTGTTAGGAATCTTCAGGTGACTCCTGGAGATTTCCCAGAATGCCATCCAGAAGGGCTCCCAGGATACACTTGCATGCCCCAGGATGCACCTGGATGTCCCAGGGTCCACCTGTGTGACATGGGTGGACCAGGTCAAAGGGAGTGGAGAGAGTGATGTAAAATGGGTGGAGTCAGAGGTTTAATAAAAGTGCTTGCTCTCAGGGGGAAGGGTCTCTTGGTGCTGGTCCCTGGAAGAGCCATCTTAGCCATGTGGCCTGGCCCAGCCCGCTGGCTGCAGGGAGCCTGAAGTAATGGGACATCTTTAGAATCTTGTGTAACTGACTAAGTTTGCACGTTCCGACTCTATTTCTGCTTCTAGTAGAGTATGTTTTTAGAACCAAGGAAAGAAGGATATATTTCTCACCAACTTTTCTTTGTCCTTCTGGTTGCTGTGCTAAAAGTGTGCTTGGGTGCAGTCAGACGGCGTGCTGAGAGTGGGTTACACTGCTCTGGCTCTAACCAGATTATATTTGATCTGGATAATCGCAATCACACTTACCTCCCTTATCCCACCTCACCATGCAGTCACGTCGCTCCCCAGTGTCTACACTTCTGACGCGTGGGCGCGGGTGTCGGCGGGTTTTAAATTTTTTTCCCTCAGTTTGCGCATACGCATAGGCGCCCCTCCGTAGAAGGGGGGGAAACTATCATGGCACATGTGCAGAACCACCAGGGTGAATCAATCCAACCCCTCCAACAAAAGACTTCCCTTTAAATGTTTGACCCGAAAATGGCCTCCGTGAGATCCCGAACTCAACTAAATGCTAAAACAAGTGACTGTTTAAATGTCGGTTTTCTAGACGCAGTGGTGGAGCTCTGCCTATGCGCAGACCGCTAACACATTTTAAAAATGGCGGGTGAAAAGCGGAAGCCTCAGGCAGCTTTCAAGTGGGGAGGGGGTTTAAACTGGAAGTGGCTCAACACCGCAGGAATGATCAGATGTCACAAAAGTGCAGCTAGAACCGGAGAATCAGGAAAACACCATTTGGGGACCTGGTAACAAAATACTCTGTTTTAAAGGGGGCTTGAGCCAGAAAGCGACGGCTGGGGACGGTGCGCAGATGTTGGGTGTGTGAACGTGGATATAAAATCCATTACTGAAGCGTGCCGAAAGTGGACCAAATGGCCTGTCTGAATGCACCCCTTGTAACCTTTTTCTCTTTTTAATAAATATTTTACTCTTTGAAGCTGGTAGCATTCTCTGGACCACATAGCTTGCCCAACTGCCTTAGACCATGCTATTTTATGATGGGAGTCCCAGGAAGGGGGAAGCCAAGCAGTCAAGGAACCCATTGCCAATTCTCCAGGGCCCCCCCCAAAGAAGGAAGTTGGTCCCTATAGTACCCAGGCGCTGGGTAGCAGGAGACCAGAGGCAGGGCCTCAGTTTGAGAAGGGGTGTCAGGAGTCTGCCCCTCCTGGCAGGAAGACCCCAAAAGGACAGTGATGACAACATTCCCTAGTGGAAGGAAGTGGAATAGCACCCTCCAGGAACTGGCACAAGCCAAGGAGGGGGTCAGCAAAACAGGGTCTGTAAGTCAAAGCGGGCCTGTTCCACCACACATATAGTAGACTCTGAACATTGAAGATGTAACCTCCCACCCAGTCACCATTTTGGATTATGAGTAATCATCTTCTGAATGCAAGTGGTGTAAAATAAAAACGATTTGAGCCTTAAGTAGACTTGTGTGTTGATAACTTAGCTGCAACGGGGTTCAGCTCCCAGCCAGCTTCTGGGTAACGACAGAGAGCTTGTTCCAGAGGGCTTCAGCAGTCGAGGAAAATGCTCTGGAAGGGACTGATGCTGCACACATCTCCCTCACTCCCTGATAGAAGAGACTGATGGGAGCTATGCAAGTTGTGCAGGCGTAAATGTCGGGAGAGGCACTCCTTCAGATTTGTGGGTCCAGGTTATCAGTCAATGCCAGCACTTTAAAACTGAGCCCTAAAACAGCTAGTCAGTATGGCTGGTAGCCCTCTGATGGACCTGAATCTTCATGAAATCTCTCTAATCCTATTTCAAAGCCATCTATACTTGTGGCCATCACTACATGCTATCACGGTAGATCCTACAATTTAATCACTCGCTGAATAAACAAGTATTTCTTTCTGTCCATCCTGAATCAATTGGCTCTCAGATAAGACAGGCAAAAGAAGTTCTCCCTGCCTACTTTCTCCATCATTATCCTGTGCTCCTCTCCCCACCCCACCCCAGTAACTGTTTCTCTAAATTGAAAAAAAAAAACCAACCCCAAACCACACAGCCTTTCCTCATATAAAAGGTGCTCCAGGCCTTTCCTCCTCTTGGGGCAAGAGCTTTTGCCTGGAACGTTTGCGTGTTGTAAGAAGGCACTTTGTGAATTAATTACCTGCTCAACTCACTCAACTACAGAGAACTATCCAGCAGAAGATCTCCTGCCATCAGCAGTACACGCTTTCATCTTGCATCATCAAAGGGATTCTGATCAGCTAAAGATTTTTGTGCAATTCTCAAAATGTAATCGCTTCACAAAGTGTGCACAAACCTTGAGACCCTGGACAGAAGGCAGCATAAAACAAGCAGGATTTCAGAAATATCTGCTAGGTTTCTACATTTGCCAAAGAAAACCATTTTTAAAAAGTATTACATTGGCCATATTATCACAACTGAAGGGCAGAGAATATTTTCCCCCTGTCCTCACCAGTCTTTAAACAAAACAAAACGAAAAAGCTTGTGAACTTTACACCAATTTCCCAACACACGGTTTTAAGAGAATAGAAAGTCCCCAAAGATGGTGATTAATGGGCTTCCCCCTTGATCAAGAATTCTTGTTTGCCCAGAACTTAAGCTGCAGCCACAGCACTAGTCCCCAGTAAGTGGTTCTTCTGAATGTAGACACACACCCCCAATACAAACCAGAATACTTAGCTAGCCTGTCTTCTCTGCATTCCAACCACACTGATCTGTCTTACCCTCCTCCTGATGATGTGTGATTAAACAAACAGAGAAGCAAGACAGAAGCAGGATGAATGAGTCGGGGAAGGGTCAGAAGAGGAAGTGCAGAAAGCAATTTCCGACAGTAAACAGAATAAGGGATAAGAAAAGGAGGACAGATGGAAAAACTGGAGCAGCGGCAGAAGGGATCAGGCAAGGATCCTAAAGGATGGGTTGTACTCCAAATAGGTTCCAAAAAGCCCCTCTGTAGGTGCCAAGGTCAACGTGGCACAAGAGAAGTTTCCAGCAACTTCTGGTAAAGAGGCCAAACTGGAAAAGCAGCAGAATTAACACAGCAAAACATAGCTAAGTTTGGTACTCCCAGATAAAATCACAGCACCCTTGTTCCAAGGTCAGGGCTCACCCTTGACTTCTGCAAAGTATGGGACATGTACAGAGTGCTCTGACACACACCCTGACCCCAACCCAAACCAGAAGGCAGAATTTAAGAAGCAGAAAAATCCCAGGTAAGCATCAAGAAAAAGCCCGGAGGCTTCCTCCCCCGCCCCCCAGAACTGGATTGCCATCATTTTCTCCCGGCCTCGCGCCTGTGTCTTTCAAAGCACGTATAATTTTGAGGGATCCACTCCCGCCCCGTATTGTACCTAGGGGCCGTTCAGAAATGCTCCGGAGCACAGGTACAAAATACAAACGGTCCGGTCCTCATCCCTGCACGCGCAGCTTACCCACCTCTGCCGGCCTCGCATCCAAGCCCGGGAAACAGCGGCTGCTCGAGCGCATCCACAGCGAGACAACTAGAAGCGCCTCCCCCAAAGGGGCCGTCCGTTGTCAGGTTTCCAAGCGAGAGCAGCCCCGGTGCGCGACCTGCTGGGACGGGTAGTTCCCACTGCAATGCAGGCGCCTGGCGCTAGGGTCACGGCAGCACTACAAGCCCCAGCAGGCGACGGGGCGCGGGGCGTAAGGGCGGCCGGCCTCGTGGCCGGCGTGCAAGCTTGCAGAGAGGGAAGACGGTGCGGTAGTCGACTGTGGCGAGGTTGGACCCACTGTCTGTGACTGCTGGAGCCCGGGTCTGATACACTGATTGATTGTCGGATACACAGCTGCATTCGCAAGAGCGCAGACTGAAATTCCCAGAAACCGGGCGGAGGGCTTGAGACGAAAAGGAAAATTAGAGAACAATCTGAGTTCGTTGTATCTGTGCAAGAGGAGGTTTAAATAGAAGTCAGTGCGAGTTGCTTGGAGAAGAAGAGACTTACGAAGACAACTCAAAGCAGGAACATTTCGCCGCCGCCGTTGCAGCTGCCACCGAAAGCGGCTGGCCATAACTTTTTAAAGAGCCCCTAACGAGAGCTGGGGAGCTGGAATGACCTCTGGGCAATATTGCCTTATGTACTCCATTATCCCCTATGGGCAAGCGTCCTCTCTATTATTCCTTATGGGCATTATGGATTCTCTATTGGCAATTATGTACTCCATTATCCCCTATGAACAAGCAACCTCTCCATTATTCCCTAAGGGCAGTCATGGATTCTCTATTGGCAATTTTGGGTTCTCTATTGGCAATTATGTAGTGCACTATCCCCTCTGGGCAAGCCTACTCTCCATTATTCTCTATGGGCACCCATGTATTCCCTATGGGCAATCACTGTCCTTAGTTTTAGTATGTCCCTCTTAAGGGTAGTCTCCATTATTCCCTATAGGCAAGCTTGGTTTTCATTATTCCCTATGGGCAAGCGTGCTTTTCACAACCCTATGGGCAAGCGTGCTCTCCTTTATTCCTTATGGGCAAGCGTGGTTTCCATTATTCCCTATGGGCAAGCATGGTTTCCATTATTCCCTATGGGCAAGCATGCTTTCCATTATTCCCTATGGGCAAGCATGTTTTCCATTATTCCCTATGGGCAAACGTGTTCTCTCTTAATCCCTATGGCAAGCATTGGCTCCGTTTTCCCTATGGGGAAGTTTGGTCTGTATTATTCCTTTTGGGCAAGTGTGGACCCCAATATCCTCTGTGGGCAAGCGTGGTCTCCTTTATTCCCTATTGGCACCTGTGGTCTCCCTTATTCCCTCTTGACAAGTGTGGTTTCCTTTATTCCTCACGTCCACATGTGGTCTCCCTTATTCATTGTGCAAAACGTGGACTCCGTTATACCCTATGGTCAGGTGTGCTCTGCTCTCCATTATTCCCTATGGGCAATCATGGATTCTCTATTGGGAATTATGGATTCTCTATTGGCAGTTATGTACATTATCCCCTATGGGCACGCCTACTCTTCATTATTCCCTATGGGCAATCATGGATTCTCTATTGGGAATTATGGATTCTCTATTGGCAGTTATGTACATTATCCCCTATGGGCACGCCTACTCTTCATTATTCCCTATGGGCAATCATGGATTCTCTATTGGGAATTATGGATTCTCTATTGGCAGTTATGTACATTATCCCCTATGGGCACGCCTACTCTTCATTATTCCCTATGGGCAATCATGCATTCTCTATTGGCACTCATGTATTGCCTATGGGCAATTGCTGTCCACTCATGTATTCCCTATGGGCAATCGCTTGTCTTTAGTTTTAGTACGTCCCCTAGAGAGAGGCTTCATGCATCCCCCCGCCCACTGGAATGCTTGCCAAACCGCCGTATGAATATTTTGAAGTTCTGAATGGGAAAAATAATAAATAGTCCTTCAAGTTTGGGATATTGGTTGCTGCAAACCTCAGTTGATGCATCAAGAGCCTCAACTGTGGGAAAAACAGGTTTCACTCAACGAGATGCTGATCTCAGGATGGCCTCCTGAGAAATCATAGACCTATATCTCTGTTGAATGCGGATTATAAACTATTTACGTCAATTATAGCTTCCAGATTGGAAAGAGTATTGGTACAAATCATACATCAAGATCAGGCAGGATTCTTACCGAGAAGACAAATAAAAATAACGTCCGAATCATCCTTAACGTATTAGAATATTATGAATTACATCCAGAAAAACAAATGGCCTTAATGTTTCTTGATGCTGAAAAAGCGTTTGATAATGTAAGATGGGAATTTTTATTCCAAAAACTAATTACATGGGACTGTGGCTAATTTCTAAAAACTAATTACATGGGACTCGTCAATGGAGATATGACTTCAAACATCAGGATACAAAAGGGTACAATACAAGGTTGCCCACTATCTCCACTGCTATTTATATTTGCGCTAGAAGCATTAAATGATTTAGTGAGAGAAAGTGAACAGATTAAAGGATTAAAGGTCAGAGAAGAAGAATTCAAATTACAAGCATTTGCGGATGACTTGGTATTTATACTGGAAGATCCAATTACCTCAATGCCATACCTTATGAACATAATCCAAGAATATGGCCAAGTAGCGGGACTAAAAATCAACTGTAAAAAAAGAACATCATAACTAAAAACTGTACCCAGAAGGAAAGAGATCAAAGAGCACTTTATGAAATTTTGATATTTATTCGATTTTATCTTGTTTTACTTGGTTTTATGTATTGACGCACTTGGTGCCCTTCCGCCCTGAGCCCATTTGTGGGGAGGGCGGGGCAGAAATTTAAATAAATAAATACAAAAAATTTTATGATGGAAATAGCTAAAAAAGTGAAATATCTAGGTATTGTGATATCCAACAAAAAGAATACTCTGATAGAAGATAACTATATAAAATTATTGAATGATATTAAGAGAGACTTCCAGAAATGAAAAGAGTTAAATCTGTCACTTATGGGGAAAATCGCTACAATAAAAATGAATATCCTCCCTAGATTCCTCTTCTTAGCACAAAACACACCAATTTTGAGAAACCAAAATGTTTTTAAAGAGCTAGGAAAACTATGTAGAAGATTTCTATGGCATAATAAACCAGCTCATATACAATGGAAGATTCTTCAAGATAAGAAAGAAAGAGGAAGTCTGGGAATACCTAACTGGAACTGATATTATAAAGCAGCAGCCATGGGATGGATTAAAGACTGGTTGACATTAGAAAACAGAAGACTTTTAAGTTTAGAAGGTCATAATCTAGCTATGGGATGGCATGCATACATTTGGTACGAGAAAGAAAAAAACACATAGTAACTTTCAACAACATACTGTACGTGGTGCCTTAATAAAAGTATGGCAGGAGATAAAAGGATGTTATTATAATAATATACCCAAATGGGTATCCCCATTGGATGCCTTTATAAAACCTACATTACTTTCAAAAGAAAAAATAGAGACCTATGAAACACTACTAGATAAGAATAATACTTTGAAAACTCAAGAAGAACTAAATATGCTAAATATTAAATTGCTGTGGTGGGAAAACACTCAGACTCTAGATATAATAAAGACAAAAAGACTGGTTGGCAAGAAACAAAAACTGACTTAGACAAAATTTGGTTGTCCTCTAGCGATAAAATGATACAGAAGTTATATAATTTATTTCTCCAGGATTATTTACGAGATGAAGTAGTAAAAGCCCCAATGATTTAATGGATGCAAGATTTAGGTCATAATGTAGATATAGATGACTGGTCCAAAATATGGAAAGCCATAAAATTTATGAGAGCAATACCTTATAAAAAATATATATATATAAGATGTTTTTTAGATGGCACTGGTCACCAGAAAGAATAGCTAAATGTTATACAAATATGTCTAAAAATTGTTGGAAGTGTAAACACAGTGCAGGAACTTTTTATCATATGTGGTGATACCATATAACTCAAAATTATTGGCGCAAAGTGTATAAAATAATTTATGAAATTGTGAACATAGAATTACCATATATACTAGAAGTTTTTTTTTGTTAAATATACTACCAGATAAGGTTTAAAAATGATCAATATGTAATAACATATATATTAACAGCAACGTGTATTATGTTTGCAAAATATTGGAAATCGAAAAGAATACCCTCCAAAGAAGATATAATATCTAAATTGTTGGATATAGCGGAGATGGACAAATTGTCAATAATCCCACAAGGGAAAGACGATGACCTGTTTAGAGAAAGGAGGAACAGATTATATACCTGGTTAGGTAAAAAAATAATGTGATAACTCGCTGTATGTAATTTTAATATTGTACCAGATACACCTGTTTATGATGACGTTGAAATCATAAATATATATTTTTAAAAGGAAATCATGGGTGTGTGCTCGCTGTTTGGAGCTTGTGGCTTTCAGGGAGCAGGTTCGTTCCCTTGAGGCTAGGGTTGTTGACCTGGAGAAGCTTAACGTAAGAGCCCCATAGAATAAACCTCAAAAGTTTGAGAGCTGCAAGACATGAACAAATATTACACACACTTTTAAAAAATATATGCAAATTTCCTTTTTATTAACATTAAATGAGACTGCCAAAAATAAAAGCAAAAGGGGTCAAAATAGATACTGATAATGGTATTTATTTGTCCAATGATATTTGTTTGCTAATGTACATGCACATAAAAGGTCATACCTTGAATAAAACTTTGTTGGTCTTAAAGGTGCCACTGGACTCTAAATTTGTTCTATTTGCCTGAGAGAGAGAGAGAAACAAAGAAAGTGAATAGATGGGGAGACAGGGAGGGGGAAGGATGGAAGGAAGAGAGAAAGAAAGGTGGGAAGGAAGCAAATAGATGGGGAGGGAGGAAAGAAGAGTGAGAGAGAGCGAAAAGGAGATAAAGCAAATAGATGGGGAGGGAGGATGGAAGGAAGAGAAAGGTGGAAAGAATGAAAGAGGTAGAAAGAAAAAGAGAGAAAGCAAATAGATGGAAGGGAGGGGAAAAGAGAGAGAGAAGTA